CCCCTTGTCTTCCCCCCGATCAGAAGGCAGCCCCAATGGGCGGTGAAATTGACTCGCACAGACATAGATATCCGCTGGCTGAATGTTAATGGCCTCATACAGGCCTCACAGGTAAAAAAAAATGCTATCTGGGACATGCTAAGAGTCCCGGACAAGAGGGCGTGGCCGGATGCAATCTGCGTACAAGAAACGAACTTGCAAGACACGTCGGGGCATACAGCTAAGGCCAAAGCCATCTGGCCATACACGTCTTTCGCGGCACACGCAAAAGATAGAGCATCTGCTGGTGTTGCCATCTGGCTGCCTCCCTCCTCGAAACTCAAGCCATCGGACGTGGAATCAGACAAACTGCATGGTAGATGGGTATCCCTAAAACTGTGTTACGAGGAAGACGAGTTCTATCTGGTCAACGTGTATGCACCCAACGACCCTACATCCAGAGTCGAATTTTGGCTTGCTCTCCACCACCAACTGCCGGACGATGCCCCTATCATACTCGCGGGTGACTTTAATACCGCGCTCGATCCGGCACCGGACCGCAGATCTGCGTCTCCACGTCGGGACCAACCATCCTCATCTCCAGTCCCCCCAGGCCCGGACGTCCTCGTCCTTAGACAGATTATGGCAGACAAGCAACTGGAAGACGCCTATCGGCTGCTGCATCCTCTCCAAAAAGCTTACACCTCTCTGTCATCCAAAGGCGACCAGGGTCAGGCCAACTCACGCATTGACCTTACATTGGTGTCCAAAGACCTGATGGGCTTAATCACTACGGCGGAAATAACAACTATCAACCCTTGCAAGTCCTTTGACCACACGATGATTACATTCGGGCTTTCATTCCATAATCATATCTAACGAGGACCCGACTTCTGCAAACTAAACGCCTCTCTGCTCCCCCTCTCCAAATTCAAAGACTTAATCAAGGACTTTTGGGAATTCTGGGAAACCCAGAAACCCGATTCGGGGGAGAGGGTAGAGTGGTTCAACAAAGGTCTGGCACAGATGAGGGAGAGAGTTAAAAAGTTTTCCATCCAATATGCCAGGGATTGAAAAGCTTGCCTAAAACCGCAACATCCAGGACAATATTTTCCTGATCAACGAGACCATTAAATATGCCCTCCAAAGGAAAGCCCAAGCGGCGATCCTCTTCATAGACTTCGAAAAGGCGTACGATCATGTTGACTGGGACTTCCTCGATATGTGGCCGACGAGGATGAACTTTGGTCTGACCTTCTGTCAATGGGTGCATTTGTTACACAGGTCGGCCACGACTAACATAATGCTCAATGACCATCTCTCACCGCCGATCCGCCTCCGGAGATCAGTGCGCCAAGGCGACCCCATTGCGCCGTTGCTATTCGTTATTGTCATGGAGGCCTTGGCATCCATGATCCGATCTCACCCTCAAATCAGCAAAGTGCCCATCCCAGACATACCCCGCCACCTCATACCTATGACATCGCTCTTTGCAGACGACCTCATTGTGCTCATGCGTGCCGACCCGGCCAGCCTTCAAGCCCTCACCCAAGTCATACACCTCTTTTCACTGGCTGCGGACATGAAGGTCAACTGGGGTTCCAAGACAGAGGGTTGGTGGCTCCACCCTCAAGGAGAGCCCCCCCCCCCCTGAACCAAGTGTAGCATAGGCCCGCAAAGACGACGCCATAAGGATTTTGGGTGTGAGATTGACTGCGGTGGGTCCCCCAGCCCGGTTGGCCAAATGGAAAGGTCTGCACACCTCACTGGTGGGCCGTGCTTTGGCGATTAACAGCGCCATCCTCACGGCCATCTGGTATAAATTGGCAGTATGGCCACTAAACAAACAGCAGCACGCCAGACTTAAGAAGGCATTTTCAACATACCTGTGGAAAAATGCTGTTAAAACTCAACATTGCCTCAATAGGGTGAAATGGGAAGTGGTCACACAGCCTACGGTTAAAGGGGGGTTGGGGATCCTAGACCCTCAAGGAGAGAGCGATGCACTCATCTTCAAAGTCCTCGTCAGATTGCTAATGGGGAATGACATACCCTGGGAACCGCTGGCCTGTCTGCAAATAGCCAGCCTGGCCCCCCAATCACAGGTGCCTGGAATGGTGCACCCATTCCAGTGGCTCACGAACAACCACAAGACAATCCCATCGCCCCCGAAGCAACCCCAGCCAGCGAACCCGATACACGCAAGAAAGTCGGACATGTTGCTGGACCCGCTCTGGCCCCATATGCTCAAACTTTGGAGGCGGAAAGGGCCGCAACAGAAACACCCCCCCAACAGGTGGCACGATATTTGGAGGCAGCCTCTCTTTGGAAACCCGCATATCCTCCAAGAAACAGGCAGCCCATTTCCCCTCACAACAAGCTCTCCATGGCTGAACTGGGCCAGAAAGGGTGTGTTCACAGTGGGAAACTTGTGGGACCCGGTTAGTGGTGATTGGGCAACCCCTGACCAGTTGCAAGACAAGCTCAAGCATGTTAAACATGTTGACGAAAAAGCTGGCCTGCTGAGAGAGGCCCTCCCTCTCGCTTGGCGCCTTACCCTGCAGAGGGGCCCGACGGTCGAGAAAGACGATTGGGTGGTTAGATATACAAACCTTCCCCACCCTCTTGTCATTTTTAAAGTCAAAGAGAATGTGGATGGGGCCTGTGCGTTGGAAGCCTACGAGCCCCAGATACCGGGGGCGAGGTTCTCCAAACTGACAAAAAATGAGGACCTCGATAGCACACATGGCTGGACTGCTTTGATGCAGGTGAGGGTGGTAGGGGATTTACAAAATGGCCACCATGTGTATCAGCCAACTGCGCCCATAGCCAAACTCCCCTTTGACCCGGCCGAGTGGGAGTGGCCTGGCTCTCGACCTATGCAAATATGGGACTATACAGTTAAAGGCGGATACAAAGCTTCATGACAAGACCAGGCAATCAACAAAACAATAGCGGACAGATGGGCGGGGGACTCGCCGCTCGAACCAAAACTGCCACAATCCTTCACCTGGTCAAGATTCGCTAAGATCATGCCAACAAACCACAGATCTCTCCTGTGGCAGATCTTGCACCGCTGCCTCCCCACCCCGGACTGGCTTGTCTCCAGAACAAACCTGGAACAGAAAGAGGAACTGTCCCCTATCTGTGCGTACTGCAGGGGAACTCAGATGCCGGCCCGTGCGACCCTCGAGCACTGCCTGCTAGCATGTCCAATGGTCACCCAGCTGTGGCAGTGGTGGGACGCTGCCTTCCACTCCCTCTCGGGATATCACATCCCCTGGGACCTTGGCCTCCTGCTCCTGGGGAACAACACCCATCTGCTGGCACACTGGTCTCCATTCGCGACCAACCTCTTCTCGTACACACGGTTGCACATCCTGATGTTGGCATGGAGGGCCAGATGCTCCTTTGAAAGAAAGGAGCACCAGTTCGGCCTGCAGCAGGCACAGCAAGCTATTGAAGAGCAGATCAGGGCCAAGACCCGAGAGGCATGGAAGACCATGAAACACGACCTTCTCATTGAGAAGGAGCCCGTCGCCCAGCAAGCAATCCGAGACTCCTACACGCAGATCTGGCAGGATCCTAACAGAATATTTTCTGAACTGGATGCCTCCCTCAGCCGTGACATCAAATGGAAACCATGGAGGGGCACGGAACCTGGATGGCAAAGGAGACCCTTCTCCGAATTCCGGGTCCCTTACCTCCAACCCAACTTTGTCCTCCTCCCGCCCCCTCTGTCATAACACGTCTAAAGCCGCCCTCCCACCCCTCCCACCTCTCCCCCCCCCCTTATCTTCCCCTTCCCTGCCTGTCCCAGACTGTGAAGGGCGCTCGGACGACCACAGAGGGCCCGAAACGTGACGAGGTGGAACTGCTGATATCTAAAAGGACAGGCTGCAGCATCCTGGAAGAGGTGCGGGTGAAGGGAATGGCAGACCCTGCGGTCGTTGACAGAACTGTACCTCCAGGGAACGTGGAGGTTAAATGACACAGTACCTGCAGAGAACTGGAATTGTGGCTAACCGCTGGAAAACAGTCTACGGGAGCTACAAGGTATGGAGAGAAAGGCCGGACACAGCACACAGCCACACATGAAGGCTGTCATCACTCAGCATGGACATCGCAGGAGGTCTTGTGAAGGCACACACAAGGCGCTGCCCCCACAGAGCTCATCTCAACACACGGATGGACTGCAGTCTCCTGGGAAAAGAGGGAAGGGAACGACATACCCRGACTATTGGTATCCAGACATGCTSAGACTATTCGTATCCAGTCCAAAATAAAGGGGACTATCCTGGTACGATCGAGATAAATAGRGGTGGCCTACCCCGCCCAAAGAGGCATTCCCCTCATGAGATATTTCTTTTAAAGCATCATAGGTAGACTAGAACTAGCTTCAATTGGCTGAGTGCAATTAAGGGAAGGGCTGCAGTTCCCAGGGATAAGGTCGATGTGAAAGGAGTGCGAACTCAGGTTATCAAGCGTGACCAGAACACCAGGGAACAGGGTTAGGTCGTGCAAATGGGAAAGAGCCGAAGGGAAGGGCAATATGAGCAGCCCTTAGGGAATACACAGCTCCAATGAAAAACCTTAAATGACCGTGGCCCCAGAGACTACAACTATGTTTCCATGGGACGCTGGACCCGGTTTCCTGCAGGTGACGCTCCTCACCAATAGATGGAGCAGCCCAAGAGGGAAAAAAAAAAAAAAAAAAAAAAAAGGAGGTGAAGGGTGTAAGGAGGACTGGTTATCCGTGTTGAAAATAGGATAGGATCTCTGCCAGTGACAGGGCGTGGGGTGGGAAGGGGTCTGGGAAATCCGAAGGAGGGCATAAAGGATCTCTGCCAGTGACAGGGCGTGGGGTGGGAACGGGTCAGACTCTGGGAAATCCGAAGGAGGGCGTAATGGGAACGAGGGTTCTATGTTAGTCCAGTCTTTGAATTCTGGCCTGCAGTTGAGGGATTTGGTCGACGAAGACGTCTAGATTCAGGCGTTCAATCCAATCCATGTTGCTAGTGGGACCGCGCCCTAGGAGGGGAGGGAGGAGGGGAGGGAGGAGGGGAGGGAGGGGGCGTAATCTGGGACGCACAGGGACTGGCCACTCCAGATGATGCCGGGTCCCTCTGCTACAGCCTGTCCACTGGCCAGTATCCCCCCCCCTATTGGGGGTTCCCTGAAGGCAATAAGGCCACTTGGGCTGAAATGGCTACCCGCGGTGTCAGTCAGATTTGAGTCAGGGGACTGAATTTACCTGGGCTGGTTAGTCCCCGACGATAATACCTCAAAGTCATCGCCGTTATAATTAAAAAAAAAAAAAAAAAAAAAAAAAACCTTGTTCCTCTAATCGTACGTGTCCGGATCTTTTTTGTTTTTCGTTTTTTGGTACTCATTATATTGAACAAATGTTGATAGGGGCCGGCCACCCCACATAAAGACCCGAAGAAAAAAACAGGGAGCATTACCCCAGTTCGCTTTGTCTGTCTGTTCTACTCAACTGTCGTAATCAAGGATGAGACGGGGTATGGGGGGTAGAAAGAGCAGACTCAGCAGAGTGAAGAGGCTACCCGCCCGAGCAGAATAGACCTTTTTGCCGAAGGAAAACCGGCACTTCTCATTTACTGTCTACCCCTGCTAACTATTTCCTCCTTTTGTCTTTATTAACCTCAACTAGTTTGTCTTTATTAACCTCAACTAGTCTGCATGCTTTCCTTCCGGATGTCGCATAAATAACCCCTGTCTTCTCCTATGGCTGTGTCTATCTAACCTGTTCCAGAGTCTACGTGTGCGGATCTGGGGCGAGGTCCAATTAGCAAATTGGATTGGATATTGCAGAAAATGGAGATTGATCTGAGTCTCTGCATCCTTGCTTAGCAGACATCCAGATTCAGACACTCATTGATCTGTGTTTCTGCATCGTTGCTTAGCAGACATCCCGATTCAGACACTCAATCCACTCCTCTTTGCTACGAAGGGGAGGTAGTATCTCACTCCTTGTGCCCAAGGGTTGGACAGGAAGTAACTACCTAAGTATACCTTCGTCACCCGAATACGACGTACGGTCATTACTTCTGTATCTGGACTGGAAATTACCCAAATACAGATATACCGACCGTACGTTGTATTCGGGGGAAAGGAGGTAGCGTGAGCGGTGCTCCCTGGGAAAAATCGGGAAGATATCCGAAACAGCATGAGTTTCTTTTTTTTTGCCGTTTTTTTTTCCCCCCCCCCGATGGCCCACGGATTCAGCGACCACCGATCCTCTACTCATCTATCGGAGATGGAATCAGCGACTTGAAGATGTCCATCCTCTCGTTGCTTAAATAGCCATCTAACCGGCTGAAATACGTACCATCGTGGTGTCAATCGTGCTGTAAGCTGCTTAACGCCGCTGAAGAGGACTTCGGGCCCACAGCCAACACGTTAGTTTGCATCGATCTCCTCACGCAGCGGACGTTCGAAAACGGGAGACGCAGTACGCTGAGTACCCATAGCTCGCTCCTTCATCCCTCCGTCTCTCTCTCTCTCTCTCTCTCTCTCTCTCTCTCTCTCTCTCTCTCTCTCTCTCTTTGTGGGTAACGAACCCATTCACGCACACATTGTCCTTCCTCACATTCGGGTTCTTCTGCGAGGTCGTCATCCCAATGGATCGTCTGTCGAGTTCTGCGTTTTGGTGTTCGGGAAGAGGAGGAGGAGGAGGAGCAGAAGGTAGTCGCCTATACGCCCTCTGCGTGCTTTATTGCTTGTGGTTTTCTGTGGCGGGGGTCGCTGCCCAGACTGCCAGCGTTGTGATTGTTCATCCTCGTCCTGGTGATCGCCCTCCTTCTCCGGTGTACTCTTCTAACCCCACCAAAGGTGTTCTGGATTCTTCTCTTTACCATCCTGCAGATGCACAGTGTCTCATGGCAGCAATCAAGAAGTTTGCTACCGCCGTAATCGTGCGCGATCGGACGAAGGCTGCGACGCTGTTGCGACTCGTTTTCCACGACTGCATGACGACGGGCGGCGGCTGCGAGGCGTCTATTCTGAGCGATCGCGAGATCAACAATAAAGTCAACGCCGACTTGAAGAGGGTTGTCCCCGACATCCGCAGCATTCGAGACAAGGCGGGAAGAGCATGCGGCGTGCTTCCGACCTTGGCCGACACCATAGCCAGAGCTGCCGCTGCCGCCGTCACCTTCACCGGCCTCAACGATGTCGTTTCGGTTGGGTTCGACTTGGGACGACGGGACCTCGCTCGCAATCAGCCTGGCAACGAACCGACTACTTTGCCGAACGAGAACCAGTCATTGGACGCCATTTTGTCATTGTTTGCTACCTTCGGCTTAACCGACAAGGAGAGCACCGTGTGGTCCATAGGCGGCCACAGYATCGGGGTTGCCGATTGCATCCATTTCAGCTCGAGATTGAGCAATGAGAGCWCTCGTCCGGGCTGCTTGCATCCGGCGGATCCGACGCTCGATCCGGGTCTGGCTTGCAAATTGGCGCGACACTGCCGCATCAACAAGGACATCCGCTTGCCCTTCGACTTTCGGACTCCTTTCTCTCTGGACACCAGCTACTTCCAGCTGCTGCTGAAGCACCAAGGGCTTCTGAGAACAGATCAAGCATTCGCTGTCCATCCCCGAACGTCAGCTTTCATAACTCAGTACGCCACTTCGCCTGGACTATTCAGCGGAGACTTCCTCAAGGCGTTCGTCAAGGTATCGCTCTTTAATGTCAACAGCGCCCAGACTGCGCCGCCGACCAAGTATTATTACCCTTAACACTGTGCTCGAGCAACGACGGTAGTGCTTTTAAATTAATTTTGTTTGTCTGTTCCCTCCTAATGTGGGTGGACTTCAGGTTATTTACGCTGCCCGCAGATAGATAGATAGATAGATAGAGAGATAAGGGGCCACCGCATGCGTATCTTCCGAAACAGTCACTAAGTTAGGCGCACTCCTGAAGTCCCTTTTTTTGTAATTTCCCCCCACCTGCACCCCCACCCACGTTCATAGACAGATAGATAGATACATAGATAGATAGACAAAGGTAGGTACTAATTGTTTGTTGCCGATAGATGCTAAGATTTTTGAAAACTGTGTTTGTAGGGAAGGTAGCCAGATGCCAAGGTGCCATGATCTGCAGGGAAGGCCGGTGCGGGAGAAGGCAGATGGGGGGGACCGTGGGGGGGCGCGGAGGGGGGGGAAGCCCAGATGACCAGGTTCGTGCCGACTGGGTTCATTTTGTCCTTGCAAAATTTTTAAGGGGCTATGTCTGTCGATCTGCCAACCAATTTTGTATTAGTGTTGCCTCCATTATAACTCTATGACAGCAGCGATGGAGGCTTGGCCCCTTTTGCTGCCCCCTTGTGAACAGTCGTCCGCCCCCCAAGAGTTGCGGTGGCTGGGACGACTTCATTTTCTGCATGACTGGGGGCTATCAGGTTTGAATAGCCCTGAGCTCTCTACTACGCTAGGGGTGAAGTATAGTACCTCATAATTTAAAATTAAATATATAATACATAATAATTGTCCAAATCCTTGGTTACGACTGGTCACCAGTCACATGGCTGCTTTGCCATGTCCCCCGCCAGTGATTTTCACCATGTTTTTTGTAATGCCACTTGGCGTTCGAATTTTTTTTAAGATTGGATTCTCGTGGTGTCATGTCTTCTTCTTCTTCTTCTTCTTCTTCTTCTTCTTCTTCCTCTGGCTTCTTGTTGTTCTTTTTCCTCCTCTACTTTGCTCTACTTTCTTTTGCCACTTTCTCAATTCTAAGTTGGCGTGGATGTCCATGCATGGTTATTGATGGTTCTTTTGAGTCGATAGAGCGCGTGATGTGGCTTTGAGGACGCTACTAACTGTTTCCTTGTGTTGGCTCCTTCTGTCCATGTCATTTTATACGGTGTGACATGGGCACATGCATTTAAAAAAATAATAGTTAAAAAAATTGGCTCTTCATCATGCCGGCCAGAGTAGTAGTGATTTAAAAAAGGATATTATGAAGGGTGGCCGCTCTGCGGCTCTGGTGCTTTTTGAACATGAAAGAGCAGAGGGAGTTTGTGGGGCGCGGGCCGACTTGGGGGATTTGGGCTTCGTGCCGGTTCAAATCGAGCCAAGCCCAAACCCCCCAAGTCCGCCGACGTGTGACATACCAGCTTCCGGACCTGCGCCATCTTCCGGACCCCTTCCCTCCCCTTGTTTCTTTTGCATCAAGATGTGTCTTGCTCGGCCCCGGAAAACCCCTCTCTGTTTTTTTTTTGATTAAAGGTACCTCCCTGAGATCTGTATTTTTGTAAGCACTAGTGGTTCTTCTTGAAATTCCGTCATTTTTGTAATTTGGAAATGCATGGGAATTACGCGTGCCTTACTGAGTGCGCTCGGAATTTGGCTCGACAGTTAGGAATTCCAGAATTAACGGAACTCGATGTGTCCTTTCACGCGCGAATGTTCTCGGCCTCAAAATGGAAAACTCTGGAAATTTTGTAGGAATATGGATAGACGTAGGACTTTATTTATTTTTCCCGCGTCTACTTTGCGCGTGGATATGGTGATTTCAATTTTTGAATTAGCGTAGGGCTGGAAAAACTGCAACGGTTTCGGTGCCCATTTTTCTTTTGTTGTTTGGCACCACGCATACGAGCTCCCTCCTCCTTCCTTCTCACGCTCCTATTAGCGCCCTCCCTCGCGCGCACATGCTTTCTCGCTCCCTCCCCCTGTAACTGTTTTTCTCTCTCCTTCCCCGCGCGCGCCCTTTTTCTCTTTCTTGATCATCTAATCTTGGATCCGTTTCGCGCTATTCTTCGCACTCTTCTTCTTCCCGCTCTAAAACCGGCGCTCGAAAACATGGTCGATCCACTCTTCCCATCTAGCCAAGGAGAAGCGCCGTGTTAGAGGACATCCCTACTACGCGATGATTCTAATTGGCTGAGATCGGACTTTGAGGGATCAACACGGCTTTCGACGGGCGATTACCCTCAAGCCCTCCCTCACCCTCCTCTGTCCTACTCTTCATTCATCCCTGCATCTATCTCCCTTCTCGCAACTATTAATTTCGTTGGCGCATCCGCAAAACTCCCTCTCAACTCGTCAGCCAGCTTCCGGGAAGCAATGGCTAGATTGTGTGTGTATGTGTCGCGAGTCTGAAAGTCCCGACGGGCTGACTGTAGACTGGCTGGCTGCGCGCCTGATCGCCACGACGCACTATGGGATCGGGGCAAGCCCGTGCAGAACCTACATCGGCGGGGTGACGATCGCAGGGTGGGAGGTGGCACACGACGGTCGGGATCGTCGGTGCATGTATGAGGATAGCGACCAGGGTTGGATGGATGAATGGCCTGGGGCCATGATGAAACTTTATGGTGGATGCGCCTCCTTGTCTCGATTCTATTCTTTGGTGTGAGTGTAGCTTCACGGCAGTTAAGCCGGGAATTCTTTTCATCTCCAGACTTATGTATGATTGTCCTCTATTGAATCCATTTCGCACTTCTTCTCTCCACTGATCTTATGATGCGAATGACTATGTATGTTTGTCGTGGAATGGTTGCCTGATGGGCCGGAGATTTGATTAGCCTCGGGATGACGAGGCAAGGATGCAGAGCACACGGGAAACCGAATAATGTATGGCTGCCGTTTTCGCACCTTCCGCGATTAGTAACCACGAGTGTAGATTGTCATTGATGGACTGGTCTTTGATTAGGCTGAAGGATTGTTGAGAATGAAATGCATGAGAATGGTTGAGTGATTGGCAAGAGCAATGTTGTTGGGATTTTGTTCGAGAATGCAAGAGTGTTTAGATTTGTCGATGATGTGATGACGGGAGAATACCCCGGGGTCTTCAATCTGGAATGCACTACGCATAACCTGACAGGCGATCTATCTCCTCAGAAAAGAAGAGGGGCGCCACGTACGACCTGCATGCATGAATCACTTACAGTGTCCCACGTGATGTGAGTACTGTCCCCACGGTTTCTGTATGAAACTTCCTGGCGAGACCATCAGATCATTGCTAATGCTCTCTCTCTCTCTCTCTCTCTCTCTCTCTCTCTCTCTCTCTCTCTCTCTCTCTCTCTCTCTCTTTTTGAATTATCTTTAGGGAGAAATGAAGGAATACTCTCACTTTGCTTCGTATGATTAAGGTAAATAAAGGCGACAGTCGAAAAAACCCGGTCGATAGATGGGGTATTGTCGATCACTATGGGTGTCGGATTGACGATGACTGATTAAGACCGACCCTTGTGATTGAGTGGACTGCCATGTGGGTTGACGGCCTCAACCCGGCTGGGCGTCGGCCTCTCGTATCCGCACCACGTTGTCGACCGGTAGAAGGGATCTGCCGGCCTGCGGATCTAACCCTATGTCCGCCCCGCGTCTGTCACCCGCGGGAGGGCTAGTTCCGGGCTCCTGTAACCTGCAAAATCTGCCACTCAGTCAGATATGAAATCAAGACCTGAACCCGACAACTCTCAAAACTGCAGTATGAACAAGGAAATTGTTTTATTCCGTTAATAAAGTTCAACACAAACGCGCTATCTCAGGGCGACCTCCCACACGCTAGTCCAGGAGTGCAGTTTGTTGAGACTGAACAAGTCGGAATTCTTCGCTGGGCCCCACGACCAATGGGGTGTCTCGTTGAGATTCGATCCTTGATGTGAGTATGGACCCCGATCTGAGGCCCGCTCGGCAGTGGGAAAAATCACACCTTGGTTCATTCGAGTGCATGCCTGACCCTTCCCACGGTCTTAGACTGATCCGCCAGGTCCAATCTGGTCTGGTCTGATCCGATTCCGGCCTTGATCTCATCTGGGTTGGTCTGGTCTGGTCTGAAGTGGTCTGGCCTGGTTTGGTCTGGTCTGGCTTGGTCTGGTGTAGTCTGGTCTGGTCCTGTCTGGTCTCATGCCCTGGTCTGGTTTGGTCCAGTCCGATTCGGTTTGGTCCGGTCTCGTCCGATCTGGTCTGGTCTGGTCTGGTCCTATCTGCTCTGGACTTGTTTGACCTGGTCCGATCTAATCTGGTCTGGCCCAGTCTGGTCTGGTCTGGTCTGACCTGGTCTGGTCTGGTAAGGCCTGGTCTGGTCTGGTCTAGTCTGCTCTGGTCATGTCTGGTCTCATGCTCTCGTCTGGTCTGGTCTGGTCCGTTTCGGTCTAGTCCAATCTGGTCTGATTTGGTCTGGCCCGGTCTAGTCCTATCTGGTCTAAACTGGTCTGACCTGGTCTGGTCTGATCTGGTCCGGCCTGGTCTGGTTTGGCCTGGTCTTGCATGGTCTGGTCTGGTCTGAACCTGTCTGGTTTCATGCCCTAGTCTGGTCTGGTCTGGTACGATCCGGTCTGGTCCAATCTGGTGTGATTTGGTCTGGACTGGTCTGATCCGGTACGGTCTGGTCTCTCAGGTCCCTTCGCGAGGTCGAACTGCAGTCAAGCTTCAGTCGAAGTCGAAATGCACTCGAGCTCAACACGGAGGAGGTACCGGTTGCTGTGAGGCCACTCGGCCTAGGAAGTCACCGCCCAGGAGGCCGGTAGGCCGCTGTATCTTCAGGAAGAGCGAAGTGCTCTTCCTCATTTGCGGTGTGCAAGGATTGGCGTCATGCTGCTGGAGCACTAGCGCTGGACTGCTACAGCGTTGGGCGGAGGTGAAGGTAGCTGGGAGCTCAGCCTGGCTATGGCGAGCAACCCAGCCTGAGGAGGAGGAAGAAGGGGGTAAGGTAGGAGAATGGCGGGGCACTTACCTGGCTATGGTGGACACCATCTTCATCACCTTGTTGGGCGCTGCACCTGGAAGGCCCCAGTTGGGGTAGCGCTGCACCAGGGCAGTTCGAGGTAGAGTCAGGCATAGCGGACCAAGTCAAGCAGCGGCGTAGCTGCTTTGGGTTGTCTT